GGGCGGTTTATTTTCCAAACTTGGTGGAAACATTTTTTAAAAAATGTGTCTAGTTGCCATGTTGACAAGTGGTGGATTGTAATGGTTGATACACTGTGTTAACTTGAAGTTTAGAAGTTTAAGGGACTCAGCAGGAGTCCAAGATCGCACTTTGTAAACATCTTCATTCTGTGCAAGATGAAGGTGCTGAGATGGTATGAGTGCTACATTCTCCAGTGGAGGGATGGCCTGCTTACAAAATAAGGCAGGAAAGAAGGGTTGTTCTTCCTGCTTTTGCTCTTGTGTCTTTTGCTGTCTTCTGACACCTTGAAGTGTTGCCTCTGTGCCATGCTACTCTGGATCAAGCTGATTATGAACTGTAACTCCACAAACTGAGCTAAATAAACTTTTTCTTCTTTACTTTTGGGTGTCAGGTATTTTTTCTCAGCAACAAGAGAAAAGTAACCAAAACAACCCCCAAGCCCTAAAATCAAAGAATTATTTATAGTTTAAAAAAAAGGCCAACCCAAGGAAATAAGATACAAAGAATATCATTGCAGGATTTGTAACCACACACCAGGATAAACTAACTGCTCCCCCTCCTGGGGTAGGAACTAATTAGTTGTGGTGAGAAAATTGTGTTGTGGTCTTTTGGTAATTTTTGTTGTTGTTGTGGGGACTGAATTGAGGGCTTTACCTGTGGGAGGGAAATACTCTACCCCTGAGCTATAAACCTAGCCCTTGTAATTTTTTCTCCCCCTCCTTGTACCTCTCTTCCTTCTTTCCTTTCTGTTTTTGAGACAGAGTCTCACTATGTGGTCTAGGCTGGCCTCAAACCTTGGAACCTTCCTGTCTCAGTGTTGGGATTACAGTACAATCCAGTAATTCCTTCAACAGACTCCTGGCTTGGTTTGACCCACGTACTTTCCTTGACCCTTCCCTTTCACAGCACAGAGAAAGACATTTTCTCCTTAGAAAACCAGGTATCCAGCCATTCTGTTGGCTCCTAATATGCTACAAAATTCAAGAAACACAGTGAGACCAACCTAAAAGAAAGATCCAAGGCCTGGCTCCCCCAAGCCCGGGATTTATCAAAGAACCAGATGCTTGCTGAGGCAAGTCCTCTGTAAACTTTCCTGGAAAGATTTTAGAAATCTTTTACAAAGGAATTAAGTTTAAGTGGGAAGGATTTGAATTACACTCCATTTGGTCTCCACCACTGCAGTTTTAGAGCTTTTTATGTAAACAATATACATAAAACAGTAGTATTAGATACTGTTTCTAAGCCTACAGAGACAGGGTTGGTTTGTGACATGGACTTGAAATTCATAAAAGTCAGACTTAGATCCCTGGGATGGGGTAACTAATCAATATTTACTGTGTAAATTGGAACTGCTCTGCTTCCTGCAACTCATTTACCAGTGGGGGAGGAAGGTAAAAATCAACTAACTCCGTAGACCCTAAATTTACCAAAAATCTTCAGAGAACTGCAGAAGGAATGGAGCCAGTGAGCCATGATTATCTTCTAATCATTCAGACTTTGGTTCAAAAGCCACCTCAAAAGGACTTCCCTGATCAATGGTGACATGTCTAGTCACCATCATGTTACTCTTTTTAAAGTATCTTCATAGCCGGATGAAATGGTGCACACCTGTAATCCCAGTACTTGGAAGATTGAGGCAGGAGGGTCACCATGAGTCAAGACCAGCTGGGATACATAGTTCAAGGCCAGCCCGGGCTACATGGTGAGGCCTTATCTTCTTAGGAGCTCTAAGGAGCGGAAGAAAGTGGTAGCACAGTCAGAGAAGTGTCTGTGACCCCAAAGCCAGCAGTCAGAGAGTGAGGGAGATACTTGGAGGCTAAAAACTTCAGACAAATTAAACTTACCAGAGTTTGCTTTGAACAAAGAACAATTTATGAATCAGGCAGCACTCAAAATCAGAAGAGATTCCAAAGGCTCCACCCAGTAGCATTAGCAGCAAGCTTTTTTGGCTTGTGGCAGAAATAAAGCAATCACTGACTGACCACAGGCAAGTGCCAGCTTTAGTTGGGAGTGGTGTGATAAGTTAGCTGCCTGGAATTGGCTGAAATGTAGCCATTTGTTATATTTCTAAACTAAGTTTTGGTTTGTTTACATACTAGTGTTGGAGCTTGTTACCTAGGAATTCCGAGTATGGAGATGACCGCCTGTAAAATGGCTTCCTGCTTCTCCATTTAATGGTGCTGTGGGGGAAAGGCCTTGAGCTGAAGGATTCAGAGCCCTCAAAGCTACAAAAGGCAGGGGAACATTCTCTCCTAGATGCCATAGAAGTATAGCCCTGTAAAATTTGATTTCAGGATCATTATTATTATTATTATTTTTTTTTTTTTTTTGTGGAACCAAAGATCAAACTTACGACCTCGCACTTACCAGGCAGGCACTTATGCTGCTGAGCTAAATCCCCAGCCCCTGATTTCAGGATTTTTGACCTCTGGAGCTGTAAGAAAAGAAATTTGTGTTGTTTTAAGCCATTAAATTTGCAACAGGAACCAAAGAAGATGAACACCAATGGCACCTGACATATAGTAGGTACTCAATGAACATTTGTTGATTGACCAGCTTCCTCATATCTGAGGCTTCAGCCAATAATAAAAATACTTCAGGTAGGTATGGTGGCACATGCTTGGGAGGCTGAGACAGGAGAATCACAAGTCTGAACCTGGTCTGGGTAGTTTAGGGATTGATGAGACTCTATCTCAAAAAATTAAAAAGGAAGAGGCTGGGCCTGCCATTCAGTACAAAGGCCCTGGACCCATTTCCAATACACACAATAAATAAAAACCAAAAAGAGCTGAGGATATAGCTCATTTGAAGGTCCTGAATTCAATTGCCAGTACTGACACAAAACAAAAACAACAAAACAAAACAAATCTCATAGTTTTAGTGTCACACAATAGCAAAGTATATTCATAGTCTTCCCCTCTACCCCAAACTCAGGGCTTAATCTCATTTTATTGTCACTATTATTATTTAAAACTAATATCCTTGTTTTCTTACTTTAATGCATAAAAAGCATGACATTCATAAGGATATAGAAAAACCATTTATAATTCTATTACTCTTATATAACAAAACTATCATTTTTTTCCACCTATCTTTTTCCAGGTCTCATCCACATAAATATACGCCTAAATATTACAAAAATAAGTCATTTTGTGAGTATAACACTAGTGCTTCTATTCTCAGCCAAGAAAAATCTGTAGTCCTCAAAATAAATAAAATGTTAAAATAAAATTTTAAACAACTATATTATGTGTTTGCAAATTTCATTTTTTCTGTTTCTCATTATTTTATCACCTGGTAGGTTGCTTTGGGCATTGTGGGAAGCAAAGGTTAGGATCAAGTTGGTACTGGAAGAAGCCTGCTGAGGATGATGGCTCTGAAATACAGGCAGACAAAGCAGGACACCACAGATCTGACAGAACCACAGTCAAACCAATGTGGAGATGAGGCAAAGTTGCCAGAGGAGTTCCAGTTGATCAGTTGGCATATAACAAGGTTTAGTCTTTGTCTGGTGTCATCCTGGGAAAAGTGGCCTTCACTTGAGCATAAGAATAAATCCCGAAGGTGTTCCACTAGAAGAAGTGGGCTAACTGCCCTCCTGGGAGCTGAACAGAAAGTACTGCTACATTCCACCCCTTTGTCATGGGGGTTTGTGTCTCTGTATGTATTTGCTAGAGTTCCACAGGCCTCTCTTCCTATGGGAAAGCTTAAAAGGTGAGGTTAGGAGAATAATATCTAGCCCAATTTCTGCGTTCGGTTTCAGGACTGTATTGGTACTTACTGTTTTTTCCACTCTAAATTTCCTTGGCTCCCAGCTATTACCTCTAACAGTCTCAGTGACTTAACTGATGTTGTGATCCAAACCCTACTTTGATAACATGTTAATTTCTCTTCTTGCCACAAATTACTGGAAGGAGCTAACACCCTTCTCAGATTAAAAATCATCAAAATCTAGTTCTAAATTTGGTGTGGAGGCACACATGCCTATAATCCCAGATACTCTGGAGGCTGAAGCAGGAGCACTGCCTGGACAATGCAGTGAGACCCTGTCTCAAAAGAAAATTTGAAAAAGGGCTAGTGGGGCTGGGTATTCGCTCATAGAAGCCTTGTCTAGCACATTTCAATTGCAAATTGGGGCCAAAAAATGGGGAAAGAATCTAATCCCATAGCCATGGCTCTTGTCACTACCTGTTGGCTCATTCTTGCCAGTGCTTTGAAATGTAGTCTCTTCTTCCCACACCATTTTCTCTAAAAGATGCTTTTCCCTAATGAAAATCCCATAGTCAGGGGATTCTGAGGAAGCAGGGGTCTCTGCGATGTCTCCTCTCAGGGAGGGAAACTGCCAACCTTTAACAGGCAGGGCTGGGCTTCTTCTAAGGCTCTACAGATTCAGAGAAGTATGGAGAGCCAGAAATTTTGGAGCCCCTGTGTGTCTCTAGGCCTTGAATCAGGCTCCAAAATTTTTCTAACTGGAGCACTGACCTTGACAGCACATCTGCCTTCCAGAGCCTCATTGAGTCAGGATTTTAGTCTGGATATTTTTCTTCTTTTTTCTCCACTACTGTAGATAAGGGCCTCTTTGTAAGCCTTCAAAGAGGCTCTTTGGCTTTCACAGTTAATTTTCTATGGTTGTTAACTGCTCTCAGCTTTTCATTATCTCCTGACAGGGTTCAATGCAACTTCATAATAGGCAGTCAAATCCACTGTGCCTGTATTCATCGCTAACCCTCTGCCTAACCCATATGCCCCGAATTGTTGCCCTATGAGGGCATTTCCTACTTCATCCACAGGGAAAGTTTTAACAATTGTGGCCACCATCTCCTCCTGAAGATTATCTGTACTCCCACAGCATCCGGGAGATTTATTTTGTTTTATTTTAATTTTAGGCCAGTGTCTTACTATGTTATCCAGTGTGGCTCTGAACTCCTGGCTTCAAGCCATCTTCCTGCCTCAGCCTCCAAAATAACTATGATAGGACTACAGGTATTCACCAAGTATTGCCACCCAGGCAGTGAGTAATAACTTTCTTCTATTCTATCACTTTTAGGACACTCCTGGAACCAACAGTCAGTTCAAGTGGTCTGGGAAGCCGATGCCGAGACCGAGTTAGAAGTGTAAGAGGCGCATTGGGCAGTGAAAGACAAGGAAACAGGAACAGGCAGAGAAAGCCTATGCATGATGCTGTCAATCTCTACCTTTGAAAGGAAGGGAGGTAAGAAGCAAAGCTGGGCAAAGAGACTTCAAGCCATGATGTAGACTTTTTTCTTTTTTTTTTGGTATCGGGGATCGAACTCATAACCTTGCGCTTGCCAGGCAGATGCTTATGCCACTAAATCCCCAGTCCCATGACGCAGACTTTTACTAGTCATATTTACAGAACACAAAGCTTCAGAGCCAGAGTGTCCCATAGAGGAGGCAACAGCAGTAGAAATGACCAAGCCCAGGACCCAAACTGTGCTGTCACTGTCTAGGGCTGTCCTTAGCTGTGACAGGCAGGTAGATTCCAAAGACACTGTGGTGGAGGCTGGCAGCTAAATGCATCTTGGCAGCTACGTGATGCATTCTATCTTAGAGAGTCAGGGCTGCCATATCAGGTATTTTGCCTTTGTGTCCCGCACTAGTTCTTTGTCATCTTGCTCCTGTATTACAGACATGAATTTTGAAAAGATTTAGATAAGAAACCTAGGCAAATTGGGCAGGTATGAGGTTCTGCTAGAACTCTGTGACAACGGACTAGAAGTGAAGCAGGGAAATGTGGGGCTTGGGAAATGCACGTATGTACAGGTTTATGCTGCCAAGTCTCCCTCTCCTTCCCTGCCTAACTATGGAGAGACTGGAGGTGGAATCAGCTGTTGTTTGGGTGAGTGGAAGAAAGCTACTCTCTCCTCCCAATGGCATTTTAGCAACTCATAAAAAATATCCTGGAAGGAACTTATATTAATTTTATTAGAATGGGAAACATAAGGTTTTCTTGATTTTTTTTCCTTTTAAATGAGATTTTTATTTAGAACATACTGGAATTTAGTTGCTCAGAACATTAGAAGTGGTAGCTAGGACAACAAAAGGGTTAGAAAGTGCTAGAATGACTCAGGGAGCTTTGAACTGAGACTGTTCTCTATTAGGCCGAAAAAAACGTTGCTTGGAATTTCTTTGTCCCAGTTATTCTGTTATGTTACAGATATGGTTACACTTACTGGAGTACCCAGTTGATAAGAAAAGGAGGCACTGGAATATATAACATGACTGTGACTGATTTTTTTTTCCCAAGAGAAGCCCTTAAGAATACCATTATTAAATCTGAAAGTGACTATTTTTTGAGATGTAGGGTCTTGTATGTAGGCCAGGGTGGGCTCAAACTCTTGATCTTCCTATCTTGGCCTCCCAGTGCTGGGAGTACAGGTATGCACCACCATACCCCACAAGATAATTTGTAGTTCAGTCTCTGGCCCTGACTTTTCTCAACTTCTCTTCCAGTTGTTAGGCACTCCCCCCCACCATGTCCCATATCTTGTCCCCAAGATGGCAAGTTCTCAAGTTCATTTAATCATATTCTTCTGAGTCTATCCCAAATTCCTCTGATCTCATTTTTTTTTTTGTTTTTTGTTTTTTTTTAAGAGGCTGCCTCAGCCTGTTTCTTGCAGTTACCACTTTTAAATAGGTGATTGTTGAAAGATATCAGGCATAGTGGCAATGACTGTAATTTCAGCACTTGGGAGACTGACGCAGAAGGATCACTGAGAGTTTCAGGCCAACCTGATCTACATAGTGCACCAAAGGCCAGCCTCTGTCTCAAAAATCTTAAAAAAAAAAAAAAATTGTTAATGATAGTGGTGAGTCTTGACAAACTCAGTAATTTCTCAGATTTATCTATTTATATTTTGAAACAGAGTCTTGGTCAGTTTCCCTAGCAGATCAGTATATGATTTTTCTGTCTCAATCTAGATAAAAAATTTTTTGGTACCAGGAATTGAACTCATGACCTTGCACTTGGTAGGCAGGCGCTTATGCCACGGAACTAAATTTCTGGCAACCTGAGTCAAATTTGGTTACTTATTTTGAGACACTGGCTACGTAGTCCAGGCTGGCCTCGAACTCCCAGCCATCCTCCTGCTTCAACCTCCCAAGTGCTGGGATTACAGGCATGTACCACCCCACCTGGTAAAATATAAAACGTTTTTTGAACTCTGGAAAAAGATCTTGGAATCAGTCACCTTTGTCAGCCAAGTCTAGAGTGATGATGTCCCTGAGGCTGCTTTCTTCAGGAACAGATGACAAAGAGGTGACTCAGGTTCCAGGTTTTTCTTTGTAACCTTCGCACTAAGTATCCTAATTGTTAAGGAATTTATCTAGGAGAATTTAAGTGTTCACTTCTGGGTCAATTTAACAATCCCACATTAAACATAAAAATCTCCTAAAAAACAAAACACTCCATCCCAGCGGTCTGGAGATAATCCCAGAAAGACACTTCCTCCTCTCCTCACTCCACCCTATCCTCACCCTTTTTTTACAGTTCTTCCCCATGGGCCCACGGATTTCTGGGTTTTCTGGTTCCCGCCCAGAAGCCTGCTCTGGAATGTTCCCAACTCAGCTGGCAGGTGAACTTTTCCCTCCAGGGCCCACACCTAGTTTCTGGAGGATGGGGGAGGGAAAAACCGATCCCCACGAGTGAACGCACAGGCTGCATTGTTCTGATGCCTTCTTAATCCTGTATGTGTTCACAATAAACATTTGTCCAACAAATAAACCAGAGAACCACTCAGGGCCCAGCAACATAAACTGAGTCTCCTTTTATACGTATCTCGTATCTCAAACGTTAACACCGGGAAGGCAGCCTCAAGGTTTCAATGCAGCCTGTAGTTTGCAAAGCAGCCCAGACTGCTTTTTCTGGGGACTGGGGCCAATCAATGTGCCTACCTCTGGAAAGGCGGACTTTTAAGAAAGGTAGATTTGCAACCTGGGATTGAGTCCCCTTCCGTTTAGAATGAAGTCATTCCAATGCATGTAAACTCACATCCTCGGTTCTCATTCATTTAACTAACATTATTAAGCATCTAATCTGTGCAGGTCACTGTCGCAGGCAGGAGACCCTGGTGGAGATGGGGCTCATTATAGGTCGCAAGACGAAAGGAAAATATGAACTAGAAAATGATGACTACTAGCAAGCAAAGGTGTCAGAACGGAAAACAATAGTGGAGAACAAGAGATGCGGAAGCGAATCCAAGACAGGGGTTGGTGGTAAGGAAAATAGGTGAGATCGCGGGGCGAGAGCACCAGCGACGCCCTCTGCAGTGACGGAGGCTCTCTGGTCGCACGGAGGCGGACGAAGGCCGGGAAGGGCTGGATCGGAGATTCCTGCAGAGGGACCCGAGGCTGTCCTCCAGCACAGCCGGAAAGATGCACGAGAGGGAGACTCCCAGGATACCTGGGTCGGGGGGAGACTGCAGACCACCAGCCGGGGTGCCCGCAAAATGGCCTCCAGGGCCCGGTCAGCCCCGCCCTGGCGCGCCCCCGTCCGCCGGCCCACGTGACCCGGTCCGCCCCTCGCGCCCACCCTGTTGCGACCCCGGGTCGCGGTCCCCACGGTGGCGGCCCCGCCCCTCGCTGGAAGTGGACCAACCAGTGGTCTGGGAGGGCGGGGCGAGCAGTAACCGCCAATGGAGGTGGAGCTGCGCCGAGGAGTAACAGGTTGGTAGGAGGGGGGAAGAGGTGCGAGAGCCTCGGTACTGAGGGGAGGGCCAGGAGCTGCGCCTGCAGCTCTGCGGGAGCCCGGCGCGCGAGCCCGGAGCGCCGCCCCTCGCTAGGGTGAGTAGCCGGGACCCGAGGCCAGGGCACCTGAGGAGGTGGGAAGGCCCTCAGGTGCACCCCAGGGGTACAGAGGTGAGGCAGTCAGAGCTCTTCCCCTTCAGGGCACAGGTGCGGTGTTGGAGAGAGGAGGAGGGGAGGTCTGGGGAGGGTGGCAGAGCTGGTTAAGAACTGGTCCCTACGCTCAGGTGGCCAGGCCGGTGGCGGAGGAGGGGTACCAGCATGGGCCAGCTGAGGCTAAGGCTATTCTCAGGGCACGAAAGCGTTTCAGGGCCAGGATATCTCTGGAGGTCATGGCAGCCCTGGGAGCAGACTTTCTCTTGGAGACCAGGGTGGTAGGGGAAGGAGTTATTCCCAGTTTTGCCAAGGCGACTGCTGCCTGAGGTTCGGAGACATTAAAAGGGAGCCGTTGGCAGGTGCTCTTTTCCTGAGGCACTCCCCCGCCCCACCGCGGTCAACAAGAATCCGCCACTGACACCTCCCTTCTAGCGCGGAGATGGCTCTAAGGTAGGGAGCCTTTTTCCATCAGTTCACCTGCAGGTGAAAGCAATTGCTAGTGCAGACATTGAAGGGCAGAACGAGAAGTCACCCTCACCTCGACGTGATATGAAACTATTTAAGGCTTTCATTGTCCGTCTTCCTGTGCATTTTTGCTAGGGAGAATCTTTTTTTCCTTCTTCCTCTTGAAAGAGAGAGACTGCGCTCCAGGAGAGGGATATGAGGAAGTGTAGATCCCTGGAGCTGCAAAATACTGGAAATACTTAGACCTCTTTTATGTCAACCCTTGCCCCACCCCAAGTACTTTCTTCTTAGGGTTTAGATTAGGCCACACTGGGTGAGGTTTGGAAGTGTAACCAACTCCTCGATGTCGCCTGGAATCCTCGTAATTCCCTGAAAGCTAGCCAGGCAACCCTGACTCCTGACCCGAGATCCCTGTTAGACTGGCAGTAGGCCTAGCGGTGCAGGAAATAGGCAGGACTCCTCCAGGCCAGATGAGAGGTGCACACTGGGCTCAGACAAAATTTCTGAGGTGGATTTTCTTGCCTTAGGCAGCTGTGGAACTAGAGCCAGCTTTAACTTGGCCCCTTTGATGCCCTGCCTGAGGAAAGTTGTAGTAATTGGAAAATAATTAGCACCTGCTACGTTTGTAGCCAAGCTGCCTGCACTTGCCTAGGGCACCTCTTTTTTTTTAACCTGGATATTTGGGTGAAGGGGGTCTGGCTCTAGGGGCCTGCTAATCCAGAGATCTGTCAGACTCAGAGGATTCTGGCTTCCTACAGTTCCCAGGCTGGCCTGTGTACTCTTAGCTTGTGGGAAGGGAGAGGGGAGGGACTGCATCACTTCACGCTAGGGAGGTGGCCCAGGTAATTGTGGATCAGGAATGCAGTTTTGAGAACTTGAGAGGAAGTGGTGGAGGAAAACAAAGTATTCCTGTCAAACGCCAGCCTGTCAGTTGGCCAGGTTCTTGGTGCATCTGCTCCTCTTGCACTTCCTTTTCCATCTTCTACTCCTCATTAGGAGCTTTGGTTTGGCATCCAAGGTGGACCAGGACACAGCTCCTGGTCTTGTCCCTCTGTCTCCATTGGTGTGGAATTTCTCTGGTCTGCTTTCCATGCTGCCACTGTCCTCTCTCTGGCCCTCCCTTTTTCTCTTGGCTCGAACCAGTCAAGCCAGTTTGCAGGGACCTAGTTCTTCATTGTTTTATTCCTGTACTGGCTGAGCAGCTCTAGCCTGGCTCTCGGGTTTCTGCTTTTTCTGTGTAGACCTAGCCTGGAATCCACATGGGGGAGGTGGTGTTCTACTTGAAACTCTTTTTGGTGGTTTTGGAGATCGAACCCAAGACCTTTGCATTGAATTACATCCCTGGCCCTTTTTACAGTTTTTTTATTTTGAGACAGAGTCTTGATAAATTGCTCAGGCTAACTGGAATTTGCCATCCTCTTGCCTCAGCCTCTCAGAGTGCTGGGATCACAAGCACACATTACCATCCCCAACTGGAAAGAAACCTTTTTATCTATAATTTTATGAGAAAAAGGGAACATAGTGTTCAAGGTCACTGAGCTGTCCTATTCTGTTTTGATCATTTGTTTTCCTTATTATCACAAAGGAGGTTCTAATCTGTATTTTCCTAATTCTCCCATTTTCTAAATGTGCCAGTTATTTAGAATCTAGCAACTTGCTTGGCTTTCTATGTATCAATCCTTCCTTACTTCCTACCAGGAGTCCAGGAATTGTTACTCCTGGTTGGAAGCTAGATACATATGAGTGGGCCAGAGGTGATAAAATTGGGGCAGGGCAGGCTAATGAGTAACTCAGGAAGAAATGGCTGTCTGATACAGGTGTAGAGTGCCCTCCCATCTTCAAAGCCAGGAATGGCAGAGGCGAACAGATACAGCTGAATTAATTGTGGCCTGGTCTCTTCCTCCAGGGCAGTTGGTGAGAAGAGCCATGGACATAGGCCAGGAATGGGAAAGCAGGGTCAGCTTTTGGTGAGCGCGCAGGCCTACCTAGCACTGGGGTTGCCTGCTGCCTGATCACTGTTTACCTGCCTGGGGCTTATGCAAGACTTTGGCGCTGCCCTGCTCCCTTGGCCCCGCCCACCTGTCCTCTGTAACTGAAGGAAGGCGGGTAGGTTTCGGGTTTTGCATGTTGAATCATTTAGAGATCTGCTCTCTGACCCACTGTAAAGATTCCTTAGCCCTCATAGCCCCTGACCCACAAGTCCTGGGACCGAAGCTGATCAAAGCTGGAGTGACACTGGGATCCAGATAACACTCATACCACCTCTTCACAACTTAGCCCTCGCACCCAAGGGGCTGTATACTTTTCTGAGTCTAAGTGGGAAGTGCTTGACCTGGATCTGGAAGATCTGTAGATGTTTTGACAGGGTAGAGCTGCAGCATGAATAAATCATGTGACTTCAGAGAGCTGGCAGTCTTGGCGCATCTGGTTCTAAGATCATGACAGGGAGTACAGACCAAGAGTCCTTGCCACTTAAGGCAAAAGAGAAATGGCTGGGAGGGATCCTTGGGTAAATCTTCCTTGTCCCGGTGTCCAAATCTACCTAGGATCAGCATGCAATCTTCAACACGTATGTATTCTCATCTCCCATTGGCCAGGCACTGGGGTCAGCTTATCATCATGATCGCTCTCTCTTTTTAAGTCTTTTTGAAGCAGGGGCTCCATGTAGATCAGGCTGACCTTGAACTCGCTTTGTAGCCCAGGCTGGCCTCCTGCCTCAACCTGTTTTTTCTGTAGTGAGAGAGGGGAATGGGAAACAAATAATCAATACAATAAATGTATAAACTGAAGTGAATGCGCTGAAGAATAACTACAGAGGATTTAACAAGTGCTGCATTCTTCGTGAACCAAGAGGAGCCAGGAAGTTTCTGTGGAAAGGAATAGCGTGTGTGAACAGTGACATTGGGTGTCAGATTGTGATAGGGCTTTCATGTTTAATATTTTATCGTTTCGTCATCCTTTGTTTTTTTTAGTACCGGAATTTGAACTCAGGATCTTGTACTCGCCAGGCTGTTGCTATGCTGCGGAGCCATATCCCTAGCCCTCTGCATCCTTTGTTAAAGTAGAACCTATATATAATGAAAAGGCACACATTTTAAGAATATAACTGGGTGGTCTCTGATTTGTAATTTCCTGCCTTAACCTCCTGAATAGCTGAATAGCTAAATAACTGGGTGCTACTATACCGAGTTTATTGATAATAGTTAAAGTTATACACCTTTTGTAATTATTTACTGTTTAATTCTCAGGTAATTATCTCATGAGGTATTGTTCCACGCATTTTATTGATGAGGAAGCAGAGGCTCAAAAGATTATTGCTCAAGTGCTATACATGAGGTGAAGAGCAGAGCTAGGATTTTCTAAGCCAGATCCATACTCTAGTCCAGTGCCTTTCCTACCAGGTGAGTATTTTGAAGATCTGTTTTACCCTGCTACCTTCAAAAATATTTTAACATTCTGTATGAAGGGCTGGGCATGGTGGCACTTGCCTGTAATTGAAGCTGTCTGGAGTCTGAAACCAGAAGTTTGGAGTTCCAGCCTAGTTTGGGCAGTTTATCAGTTTAGCAAGACTCTATCTCAAATAAAAAAGGACAGGGGCATGTAACTCAGTGTGAAAGCCCTGGGTTTAATTCCCAGTACCAAGAAAAAATATTTCTGTGGTAAAAGTTTATTTGGGCTCTCCTAGGGAAGAATGATTACTTTCACAATTTTATTAGTGCAAAGTCATTCCCAATAAAGGGTCTCTCCCTCCTTGTTCCTTTTGCTAGAGGAGATAGGCTGGGAATGCTAAGAATGTTCTTCCTTCTGGGTGTGGTGACACCTGTCATCCAGCACTTGGGAGGCTGAGGCAGAGGGATCAAGGATTACCTGGAGTTGGAGACCAGCCTGGGCTACATATTAAGACTTTTGCAAAAATATTAAAAACCAAACCAAAACAAAAATGCTTTTCTTAAAAGATTGTTTTCCTGCTAAGCCTTCTTACCTGGAGCCCAGTCCCTCCTATCCCTTCCACTCTCTCCTCATCTCTCCACAGTTTCCAGGCTTCTTAGCCCTTTGCTCATCTCTGATAGAGGGCTCTGTGCCAAGTTTCCTTGGCTCAGAACTCTGGTGGAGGCTGAGTTGGGTATGTTTATTTTTCTGTCTAACATGTTACGGGCTCCTCCTCCAGTTTAGTGCAGGGCTGTGATGAAGACCAGCAGAAAAAGTGGAGAGGCTGGAGTTTTTAATTTGCTTAGAAGAGAACCTCTCCCCTAAGTCCCTGGAGCCAGAACATAACCTGAAACACATTCCACTTGCTGACCCTGTCCTTGGGCAATGTGGACCAGGGAGCTGGCCTGCAGTTGGCCTTGGTTCTGGCCCCCAGTTTAGATCAGCCTGCCTGTCCTGGTGCCTGTGGCCTGGCACACTTAAAACCTTCGTGAAATTTGTTTTGTTTTGTTTGTTTTTGTGATGCTAGAGCTAGAACCTAGAGCTTTATACATGCTAGGCAAGCACTCTAACCTGACCTATGTCTCCAGCCCTAAATCTTTTCTTGAATAGGTAACACATCAAGTGGTCTCAAATTGAAAAGGAACAGGAAGATAGAAAGCCCATCCCTTTCTACTTTTCCAGGGAATAGACTCGCTTGTGTCTGTGCCTAACCTTGCTGCTACAGCTTTGTGTATGTCTGTGTCTTTCTAGAAATGGGCTGCTAGGATGTCACAGTTTTGAGGTCTTCTATATTTTAAAGGCAGTTTGGAGGATAGCAGGCCTTAGGGTTTGCTTCCACTGGGGGAGAAGGAGCCTCGTGGTGGCTTGTGTGTACAGTAAATGTGAGGATCATACAGAGTTACTCAGCTCCTTCACACAAGCCACATTCCCCAGGGTTATGTCAGAGTAAATGGGTTCTTTTAGGTCAGTGGGTTTCAAAGTGTGTTATCTCTGGACCAGCAGGGAGAACCTGTTAGACATGCAAATTCTCTCCCATCATACCTACTGATCAGAAATGGAGATAGGGTACCACCTGTGTTTCTGCTGCTCAACTTTAGTATGCGAGACAGCAAGTAAGAAAAATTAAAAGGGAGTGTGAAAATGATGAGGACATGTTGTGTATGTGTACGAACTCCACCTGATGAACATGACCATTATGTACTGCAAATGTACTAATAAAAATTGTTTTAAAAGTTACAAAAATAGGTAAGGGGTAAAGAAGAGTATGAGAAGCACTGATGGGTGTAAAAAGAAACTGATGGGGCAGGTGGAGGTTTCTAGATCTCTACTTGATCCCTCTCTATTTTCTAGGACCCCTCCTACCCATGGAGCAGGCATCTACCATGGAGCCCCGAGGCCCTGTAGACCACGGAGTGCAGATTCGCTTCATTACAGAGGCAGAAGGTGGTGCTGAGATGGGCACGCTACGCCGTGGTGGGCGACGTCCAGCAAAAGATGCTAGGGCTAATACCTATGGAGTGGCTGTGCGGGTACAGGGCATTGCTGGACAGCCCTTTGTGGTGCTTAACAGTGGAGAGAAAGGGGGGGACTCCTTTGGGGTCCAAATCAAAGGGGCCAAAAACCGAGGGGCCCCAGGAACTCCAAGCTCCGATTCAGAATTCCCTGAGAACCCCTACTCTCAGGCCAAGGACTTCCCTGCCCCCTCCCAGGGTAGCACGTCTGACGAGGAACCTGGGACCGGATGGCACGGAAGACTGCTCCGTTCTCAGTCGCAGGCCTCCCTAGCTGGCCCTGTGCCTATGGATCCCAGTAGCAGGAGCATCAGCTTGCTGGAGCTAGTGCCCCAAGAGGCGTCCCCAGGTAGCACCATCGACACTGCTCCTTTGTCTTCAGTGGACTCCCTCATCAACAAGTTTGACAAGCAGGTGAGAGGCCACGCCCGAGGCCGGACTGGCCGCCGCACTAGGACACTGCCACATGAACAGCAACAGCGCAAGAGGAGCCAGAGTCTGGACAGTCGCCCCCCCAGGGACACGCTGGGAGAGCGAGAGCGCCAGTCCTCCAACCACTGGGCCCCTAACGCCAAGTATAATAGTCACGTGGACAGCATAAAACAGTCACCCCAGAGCCCTGTTGGTGGCTTTTCCCGTTCCCGGCAGACTCAGGACTGGGTTCTTCAGAGTTTTGAGCAGCTACAGGAGACAGCACAGGATCCCACCTTGTTGCAGGTCAGACCTAACCCCAGCCCTCTCACCAGCCCTGGTACCAGTCCTGGGACTCTGCTAATCCAAATCACCTTGGCTTGGCCTTTTGTTCTCCATTTTATCCAAATAGAAGATATTTATATACATGAGGTACTTCCTTGAGTAAAATAATAATAAAAAAGGCACTCAAACCAAAAAAAAAAAAAAAAAAAAAGACCAGGTGTGATGGTGCACACCTGTAATCCTAGCACTCAGGAGGCTGAGGCAGGAGACTTGTGAGTTTGAAGCTAGCCTGGGTTACACAGGGAGACCCTGTCTCAAGAAAAATAAATAAAAGAAAATGAACTCACTGTAAACTCACTGGCTAGAAGCATAAGTGTCCGCTGTGCTTTAGTGACACCAAATGCTGATTTGCTAGGTAGCTTTCCTAAGGCACAAGAGGATAAGAACAGTTCCCTGTGCTCACACCAGAATTTTACACTTTTCTCTTCCACTCAGAAATGCAAATAAGTGGGGGAGTAATTTCACTTTGAGACAACTTACGTCCATTCTAAAAGTAAGTCATTTATAAACTCCAGTGCACCCATTGTCGTTAGTGACCTGTGACATGTTGCACAGCTGACTGAGACCTGCGGATTGAGGAAAACATGGTTTGCAGCATAGCATAGCTTTGTGTCCTCAGCTTTCCCCAGTTCTGTGGTTCAGCACAATCACAGGGCCTCGTCTCCCAGCTAACTGCCACCTCTTCTTCAGAAACCCTTACACACTTCTGGACCAGTCTTTCTCCCATTTCTTTCTTTTCCTCTTCCCCTACTCCTTCACTTCTACTTCTTTTTTTTTTTTTGATACTGGGGATCAAACTCATGACCTCACACTTGCCGGGCAGGCGCTTACACCATTGAGCTAAATTCCTGGCCCTACCTCTGCTGCTTTTCCCCTGCAGTTCAAATCAACACCAGACCTTCTCCGAGACCAGCAGGAGGCCACCCCAGCAGGCAGCGTGGACCATGTGAAGGCCACCATCTATGGCATCCTGAGGGAAGGGTGAGTGGGGCTCGCCCCACCTGGAGGTCTGCGCTTCCTTTCTTTTCCTCTGTCCTCACTCCACACCTACCTCCCCCTCTTGCTTATCTCAGTTAACCTCTCTTTCACCTCACCTGTGTCTGTGCGTTTCCCTCCAGAAGCTCAGAAAGTGAAGCCTCAGTGAGGAGGAAGGTTAGCTTGGTGCTGGAGCAGATGCAGCCTCTCATGGTGAGTAGCCCTCCCTGGCTCAGGTAGGGTCTTCATGGTGTCTGAGGGCTGGATGCAGACTGACTCCCACCCTCCTCCCTGTCCTCCTTGAATTTCTGTGACAGATGGTTGCGCCCGCTTCTACCAAGGTCCTGGCAGAGCAGGGTGAGCTGACCCGAAAAGTGGAAGAGCTACAGAAAAGACTGGATGAAGAGGTAAAGGTGAGAAGGAGTTGGAATGCAAGAGGAATGTGGGACCACGGGGAAAGCCCTTGTCCTGGAGGTGGGCTAGCCAGGCACTTTTGGGTCCTGCAAGATGAGAGACAGGCGTGTGCCCGCATTTCAGCGAGAACTTTGAGGTGCTCTGAAGCCCACGGAGGCAGAGCATGTAAGGGATCCAGCTAATTTGCATTCTGTCTCCTTCCTTATCCTGGCTCTGCCACTTACTCGCTGTGTAAGGCTTGAGAAAATGATTCAAGTTATCTGTACCTTGGGTCATTTTTGTTATTTTTACTTTATTTGTGGTACTAGGGATTGAATCCAAGACCTTCATACTGAGCTACATCCCGAGACCTTTTTAATTTATTTTTATTTTTTGTGGTACTGAGGATCAATCTGCATGACTTCACATTCAGCTGTATCCCCATCTCTTTCTTTACTCTGAGACAAGGTCTCACTAAATTGCTGAGTTTCCCAGGCTGGGCTCGAACTAGGAGTCTGTCTGCTTCAGCCTCTCAGAGTACTAGTATTGTCAGTCTATACCACTGCATCTAACTTCAAGCCTTTCGTCATCAGAATGACAATGGCAGTTGTAGCTGTGTTTATTGAGTATGATGTTTCTTGAAGATACTGTCCTGGGTGATAGAGAGTTCATTCGGGACCCTTTAATGATGAGAACAGTGAGGATGAGCGAGGTTCAGTGAAATGCCTGTGATAATAAGTTGCAGAGAAGGAATGGAAAAATCCAAGTCAGTCTTCTTCTAAAACCTATGTAGTGTTTTTTAGTTTTTTGAGATAGAGTCCCACTATGTAGTTTAGGCTGATTCTAAACTCATTATATAGTGATGATTCTCCTCTCTCAGTCTCGCAAGTGCTAGGATCATAGGTGTGTACCACCACGCCTGACATACTCTCATTATTGTGCTTCTTTCTTAGAGTTTTTCCCTGCACTCTATCTGCTCTACTCCTCCCTTTTTCAGAGGCGGCAGAAGTTAGAGTCTTCCGGAATTGGGCTGGAGCGGCAGCTGGAGGAGAAAGTGGAAGAGTGCAGCCGGCTGCAGGAGCTGCTGGAGAGGTGGAAGGGAGAGGCCCAGCAGAGCACCAAGGAGTGAGTGTGCCTGGGGCTGCCTGGGGCTGCTGGTGCAGCTCCTGGGGTTGCAGTTTGAGTAAGGTAGTTAGGGGAGCCCTCACTGGGATTCGAACCCAGGCCTGCAATGTAGTTCAGTGGTAGAGTGCTTGGGTAACACCCTCAAGGTCCTGGGTTCTGTGCCCTCCACTCCAAACAAAAACAAACAGAAAAAAAAATTGCAAAGAGATTTGATCAAACACATGAAGATTTAAATGAATTAATATATGTGAGTAAAGTCCCCAGAAGAAGGAGCAAGGGTGATTTAAACATGTCTCTACAGTAATGATGATGGTATGCATTTGGAGTTGGCTACCTGGGTTTGCCTCTGCCTCACATTCTTAATCTGTAAAATGGGTTTGGTCTTACCTCAAAGGATTGTTATGAGGAATTACTCTTCCAGTGAGCAAATGTTCTCCCAGTGACAGACATTGATTTAGGATCTTTTTTTTTTTTTTTTTTTTAAATCAGTACCAGGGATCGAACTCACGACCGCCTGCTTGCAAGGCAGGTGATTATGCCGCTGAGCTAAATCCCCAGCCCCTGATTTAGGATCTTGAGACATATCAGTAAACCATGCAGATTCAGGCCAGAAGCTAAGCTGCTTTTTTTCTGTATCTCTTTTTTTTCTTCCAGTAGTAGAGACTGAGTCTAGGGCCTTCATACGGAGTTACACACCCAGTCCTTTTTTTCCACTTTTTGTGTTGAGATAGGGTCTCACTAAGTTGGTCAGTGGTCCAGACTGGACTCAAGCTTGCCATACTCCTGCCTCAGCCTCCCAGAGTGCTGGGATTACAGATGTGTAACACCACACCCAGTTCTAGAAGTTTAGTTTCCTGTGAGAGGGAACAGACAATAAACATAGTATGTAAGTCAGTTTGTACCCTGTGAGAAGGTAGCAAGTAGAGCAGATCCAGAGGGCCACGTCGTGCGGAGCAGTTTGCAGCGTGAACTAAGGTAGCAGGAAAGCCTCATTAGTGAGTGTGGGTAGGTAGCTCAGTGGTAGAGCACTTGCTGAACATGTGCAAGTCCCAGGGTCTTGTCTTCTGTGCTTCAAAACAAAAACAAAACAAACATAAGGAATTTGAAAAAACACCTGAAGGAGTTCTGCATGGATTAGCATATGTTAAATGTTGAGCAAACTGCTCAGCACATCAAATGTTCCTGTTACCAGGCTACAGAACATGAGGCTCCTCCTGGACCAGGAGGAAAGGGTACGACATGGGCTGGAGACCCAGGTGATGGAGCTGCAGAACAAGCTGAAGCAGGGCCAGGGTTCTGAGCCTGCGAAGGGGGCACTCCTGAAGGTATGGAGTGGGGCTGTGCATCCTCAAGTCTGCCCATCTGCAGTTTTCCCAAAGTGTGGGGGGAGCAGCCAGTGTGTTAGGGGCCCTGCTAAGTGTGCTTTGGGGCTGACTCAGAGGTGAGGTAAGGCTAGGGCCCAGAATGGAGATTTCCATTATCCTAACCATCCTGGGAGGTGAGAGTGTCTGGGACTGTGCTTGACCCTGGGTGTTCTGTAGATACTTTCTGACTAAGTGACCGAATAATGGATTCTAGTGTAGTCACTCCTGCACGTCCATCTCCCTTCCTCAGGACCTGTTGGAGACCCGGGAGCTTCTGGAAGAGGTTTTAGAGGGGAAGCAGCGGGTGGAAGAGCAGCTGAGGCTGCGGGAGCGGGAGTTGACAGCCCTGAAGGGGGCCCTGAAGGAGGAGGTGGCCTCCCGTGACCAGGAGGTGGAGCACGTGCGGCAGCAGTGCCAGCGGGACACAGAGCAGCTGCGCAGGAGCATGCAGGATGCAACCCAGGCATGTGGCAAGGGAAAGGGCTTGGAGGGGAGTGCACTGCAGGGCAGGGGCTGCCTGGGGAACTTGTAGATTGTAACTTTTCATAGTTGTCCTACGAACTGTCCCTAAAGGACACATGTGTGTTGTGGGGAGAACCTTAGACAAGAAACTGTAGGGACAGAAGTTGGGAGTGGGAGTGCAGGCCAGACTTACCATCAGTATATATGACCAAAGTCTAATGAGGAAATACCTGGAGAGGCTTCCTGTGGATGTCAGAGGGGGACTATAACTTGGGGAGGGAGAACCCTTTGTAACATTGTACCAGGTCCCACCAAGATGTTGGGGTTCAGCTGCCATGCTATCCTCTGGGCCTGAGCTTCCCCCCTGAACACACTCACTCGGCCTTTCGGTGAGCTCTGTCCTCTGAGCCTTTTGCTGCCCCTCCCATCCCCCAGGACCATGCAGCGTTGGAGGCCGAGAGGCAGAAGATGGCTGTACTGGTACGGGAGTTGCAGAGGGAGCTGGAGGAGACCTCAGAGGAGACAGGGCATTGGCAGAGCATGTTCCAGAAGAACAAGGAGGAGCTTCGAGCCACAAAGCAGGAGTAGGGACCTTATACTCTGCCAGGAATATTTATCCATAACCCTTGCCTCTCACTGCTTTTCTCCTGTGCTTTGCTCTTACCCAGCTCCTCTTCCCGGCTGTCAGGGGGTTTTATTATCCTTCAGAGGTCTCCCAGTGGGAGGCTTGACTATTCCCTTTCACCTTGATTTCTCCTCCTTGATGGGCTCAGACTCCTGCAGCTGCGGATGGAAAAGGAAGAGATGGAAGAGGAGCTTGGGGAGAAGATGGAGATCTTACAGAGGGATTTAGAGCAGGCACAAGCCGGTGCTCGAGATACTCACCAGGTTGAAGAGCTTAAGAAGGTACTTGGGATATGGGGAGCAGAATGGCATACCTGGGTGTGGGATTCCTGCCTCACCTGTCCACTCAGGCCTCTGCACTAATGAGGCTGTCTCCATGTGCATATGTTCAGTCTTCTTTCTGGCATAGCAAGGCTGTTTTCTTTGTGAGTATAGAGGTTTCTAGTGAGAAAGCCTGAGAGCCAGCTTGGGGACAATCAGAAGCCACTGGCTACATCCCAAAAGACCTTGGGCAGCAGATTGTAGGTGAATTTGTGAAATGCCAGGGTCATTTTTACAGGCTTAAAAACCTAATTTGGTCAGTACAGTAAAAGCAGCTCTGCTTTGGGAAGATTTGTTAACTACACAGTGAAATGAATGTTTAGTTAGAATCTAGTTTATGATTTGTGGTAAGAAGTATCATTCTAAGGTCTGGAATATAGGCGTTTCTGGGGCCTGCGGACCCACGTGGAAAGGCTGTTTGGAGAGCACACAGTGGGATATGGGGAACTAGAGGATCCTGGACTTTTTAGTTTTAGTTTATGAAGGTTAAGAAGGCAACCATTTTTGGATAGTTTAGATAACCTAGAAAATATTTTCATTATAGGTAACTGTCATCTGTGGCCCCCTTAAAATGTTTTTAGCTCTACATTTCCTTGATTCACTATCCTGGACATGTAGTATGTGCTCAGCTAATAAGTAATCAATGCCTGATTATTTACTTACTTATTTTCCTCTTTTGACGCTGGTACTGGGGATTAAATGCAGGGCCTCAGCATGTGAGTTTTCTGTGACTGAGATATGTCATGCTTCAGTGTTTTTCTATAACACCTCTACTATACAAATGCCTAATTGTAATTATATTTAAAATGAGCCAAGAAACAGTTATAGCTCATTATTTTCCAGATAAACTAAACTTGAGATTACACAAAACATTTGATGGAGAAGAAATATAATTAAATTAATGTTAACCAAATATCACCAAATATACTTGATTATAATTCTGTTTTGTAGTTTAAAATTTTGATTTTCCAGAAAAAACTTCCAAAAGAATAATGAAGTTAAAATTACTCTCATTTAAACGTTTTTTTTTTTTTTCTTTTTGAGGCGGGGTCTCGCTGTGCAGTTCAGGCTGGCCTTCGGCTTACTTTGTCGCTCAGCTGGTCTCAAACTCTCAGTGATTCTCCTACCTCAGCCTCCCAAGCGCTGGGGCTACAGGTGTGCATCACCATGCCTGGTCTTAGTGTTCTTTTAAAGTTAAGAAATATTGAGAATACTCTGAAAAATGTTAATTGTATCAGCTGACACCATGAACGTGGACACACCTCTGAGCCATCTCAGTTGATGTATTGTCCTGGGTAAACTAAAAATTTTGTCTATCTCATATAGCAAATGCATCTTATCAATTATTTAACCAGTAACTAAAATAATATGTTATGAGAATAAAGGAGCTAAGCCCAACGTAGACCATACTCTGTTATATTGTTTTCCTTTATAATTAGTTTTAACTTACACTGAAGACTTCCTACATGTTACATAGCTCTTCAGCCTAATTATGGTTATTTTTGAATTTCAAGAGTAGTAATTAAAGAATTAGAATCAGACTTCATGTTTAAATTTTCTTTTTAAAAGAAATTAGAGATATGCCAGTATTCATTGTATCATGTTTTTGGTTTTCAATACATATATTTTAGATGTTGATCTTGTTTTATCTGTATGATTATCTATTTTCTCTTCACATCATTTATTTTATTATATTTCGTTGGGTTTTTTTTGAGACAGGTTTTCATTATGTAACTCAAACTGGCCTTAAACTCACCATGTTACAGACTGAGGTCTGGCCTTGAACTTGTGGCAGTCTTTTGCCTCAGCTTCCTAAGTACTGGGATTACAGGCATGCCCCGCCATGCCTGGCCCGCCTCATTTATTTTAATGAGGTTATATTTCATGTACCGTAAAATTCCTCTACTTATTTATTGGTTTGTTTATTTTGGGACAGAGTCTTGATATGTAGTTCAGGCTGAGATCCTGCTGCCTCAGTCTCCCGAGAACTGGGATTACAGATGTGTACCACCATGCCTGGCAGTTCCTCCTTTTCAAGTATGCCGTGCTCTTTAGTTTATTCACAAAGTTATGAAACCATAACCACTATCTAAAAGTTTCAAACATGTAGTAGCAAGTATCTTGATCCCTTTTTGGATGAATAACTCCACTCTGACTATATTGGACCATATTTTGCCCATTTATCAACTGATGGCCATTTCGATCATTTCTCAGTTCAGCCCGTAATGAATTTATGCTGCTATGAACATTCACATACAAGTTTTATGTGAACTATATATTTTCAGCTCTGGAGTGGAATTGCTAGGTCATATTTTAAGTTTTACATTCAACTTTTTAAGAAAGAGCCTGCTTTCCAAAGTGGCCACATTATTTTACTTTTCGTTCACCTTCTGGAACTGCCATCTGGCTCTGCATGTCCCTTTGTACCCACAACTGAAAGGTAGAAATCGTTTTTTTTTTTTTTTTTTTTGTCTTTTTCGTTTTTTTATCGGTACCAGGGATCGAACTCACGACTGCCTGCTTGCAAGGCAGGTGCTTATGCCGCTGAGCTAAATCCCCAGCCCCGAAAGGTAGAAATCTTTCTTTTGGCTCAGTATGTAGAGGTTTCAGTCCATAGTTGCTTGGCTTCAAGGCAGGGTGGTGGCCAGAGTGAGGGGAACAGAGAAGAGAAATGGTCGCTGGCCTGGCTGTGGGCAGCAGAGAGTGCTCAAGGGAGGAGGGAGAGAGTCACACCCTGGTGATTCACCCCCTCTAACTAGGCTTTATCCCCCAGTCACATTTAATTATAAACTCCTTGGTAGACCAATGCACTGTTGAGTATTTCACCCCCGTGATCAATGTCCTCCCCCAAATCCCACCTGTGAGTGTATGAGGCTTTGAGATATAAATCACGATAACCTTAACCATTGCCCTTTCCTCCTAGGAGCTGCGCCAGACACAAGAGGAGCTCAAGGAGCTGCAGGCAGAGCAGAAGAGCCAGGAGGTAGCTGGGCGACACCGGGACCGGGAGCTGGAGAAGCAGCTAGCAGTCTTGAGGGTGGAGGCTGATCGAAGCCTAGAGCTGGAACAGCAGAACCTCCAGCTACAAAAGACCCTGCAGCAGCTGAGACTGGACTGTGAAGAGGCCTCCAAGGCAAGGGGAGTGGGCCTAAGGCTTAGGAGGTGGAGGCCAAGGGGTCTAGTGGGCTGAGGAGCCAGAGGGCATGGAAGGTTCCCTGTGATGGGTACGTACCAGCAGCTCTGTGAGTTTGTGTGTGGCCACAGCAAGATCTGCCAGTAGGTGGTGATAGCAACCCTGGCTAAGGGCCAAGACTCTTAAGCCAGGGCTACTTCTCTACTCCCACCTCTCTGAAGCTCTGGGTGGGCTCTCAGAGGGCTAGCTTCTGGGGTATGTGTGTGCTTCGTGGCCTGTGACCTAGGCTGTGCGGTCTGAGCCACTGCTCCACACTGCCCGCAGGCCAAACTGGCAGCCGAGAAGGAGGCCTTGGTGCTGGGGCAGCGTCGGGCAACAGTGGAAACCACACTTCGGGAGACCCAGGAGGAAAATGACAGCTTCCGCCGACGCATCCTGGGTCTGGAGCAGCAGCTGAAGGAAGCCCGAGGGCTGGCGGAGGGCGGGGAAGCGGTGGAGGCGAGACTTCGGGACAAGGTGCAGCGGCTGGAGGTCAGTACTTCTGCCCACAGGGTCCTTTTTCCTGGCCTTCACTGCCTTCCAACCTGGCCAGATCTTCCCTTTGCTAGATACGCTGCCAAGTTTTATGTTGTCAGTAGTATGCTTCTGTTTCACCTTCCTTGTCCTCTGTTAAGTCCTCTGTTAACCTTGCATTTATTCCCTGGAGTGTGCTTTGCTGTGAATGTTTCAACTTTGCATGGGTATTTTTGTTTCTTATTTGTCTTTACTGGGTCTCTATGTCTTGATCTCTTTGCTACTTTCTCTGAGCCTATTTTCATTGCACTTTTTTTCATAAATACCTATTTTTCCTCCCCGCTATCTGTGCACCCTCAAATGACTCAAGCCTCTTGCCAGCTCAGCCCCTCCCCATCTCTCCTTTCTCCCAGGCAGAGAAACAGCGACTTGAAGAGGCACTGAATGCAGCGCAGGAGGAGGAGGGGAGCCTGGCAGCAGCCAAAAGGGCCCTAGAGATCAAGCTGGATGAGGCCCAGCGGGGCCTGGTGCGCCTGGGGCAGGAGCAGCAGGCTCTGAACCAGGCTCTCGAGGAGGAGGGGAAGCAGAGGGAGGTGCTGCGGCGAAGCAAGGTGGAGCTGGAGGAGCAGAAGCGTTTGCTGGACAAAACTGTGGAACGACTCAACAAGGAGGTAGGCATGGTAGTCCCGGGCCCTTAGGAAGAGGCTCAGCTCATTGAGGTGCCGGATGCATCAGAGCTTGTCTCTCTCCTCAAGTACATGGTTGAGAGGACAAGGCCAAATCTTTCCAAAGTACTGGACTTCTTACCTTCTTTCTGTGTTCTTGCCCTTACCCCCATACCTCATTCCCTTACAGTTTTATTCTTAAGAGAATATTTACTGGGATTCTGCTTTGGAAGTCTGTAAGACTTAAGCATATAAAGCTTCCAATTAGTGGAGTTTGTGTGCAAGCATGTGTGTGCATTACAGGGATTATTCCCAGGAACTTGCACGGGATAGGCAAGTGCTTTATCTCTGAGGCGCATACCTAGACCTCATTAGTATAATTTTAAGCTGGGAGGAGAGGAAGAAAAAAGGGGGCAAGGAAATAAATGGCTCTTTTGCCTGTAAGTTCCTCTCAACATCTTACTTTACAAAGTAAGACGATACACTTAATATTTTTTATCAGTTCTAAAGTGAACATTTTATCATTTGTCACTTCTTGGAATTGTACATTTTATCATTTCTAAATTGGATTTTGTTTATAATTCACAATATCTCCTAGTTTAGTCAGCACATTCTTCTTATAGTGTATCATGTAACCACTGGCACCTTGTGTTTGTTGAAATATGGTTGTTGAAGATTTACTTTGTAGCAGGCACTGTTGTACTTTATGTGAATAACTAACAATTCTCAAAACAGCTTGCAGTGTTGGTACTGTTGTTACCCCAAGTTATGGATGGGGAACTGAGACTGAAAGGATGAGCAGCTTGCCTTTGGTCACCAAAACTAAGTGATAGAGCCAGAATTTGAACCCAGGTATCTGCATATAACCACCAGCTGTTAAACAAGAACAAGAGCAAGTTGCTTTGGCTGCAGGAAGGCCCTTGGGAGAGTCTCTGGAGCTGGATCTAGAGAAGGGATAGTCTTCAGTTGAACACAAGTAATATTGAAAACTCTTTGGTGTGTGCTTTAGCTGGAGCAGATTGGGAATGACTCCAAGCAAGCCCTGCAGCAGCTCCAGACTCAGCTGGAAGATTATAAGGAAAAATCCCGGCGGGAGGTAGCAGATGCTCAGCGCCAGGCTAAAGATTGGGCCAGTGAGGCTGAGAAGACCTCTGGAGGGCTGAGCCGCCTTCAGGATGAGGTAGGAGCCTTAAGGGCAAAAAGGTGGGACCCATCCCCTGTCTTTGGGTTTGAAGATCTTTCCTCCTAAGCTGGCCCAGGTTTAGGTGTAGCCACTTGCAGTTACATACTAAGGTGGGAGATGGTGGAGGAGTTGGTCCACCTTAGCTGCAGACACAGAGGTACATTATCCATAGGGCAGTGGTTTTGCAACTCTGCTGCACTATAGAGTCACCTGAGGAGATGAGTTTTTAAATCCCAAAGCCTAAACTGTATTATAGATTACTTAAATCATAATCTTTAGGGATGGGACCTAGGGTCAGTGGTTTTTAAAAATCCTTACAGTGACATGTGAAGGTACCTTAGCTGCTCAGGAAGCTGAGGTAGGAGAATCCCTTGAACTCAAGACCAGCCTGTGCAATAGAGCAAGACCCCATCTCAAAAACAAACAAACAAAGGGAGACACACATACACAAAAGCTTCAAGTTATTCCAATTTATGTAGACAAGTTTAAAGTAACTTTTTAAAGACTTAAAATTTGTCAGTCTGCTTTATGCTATCACCCTGTGCTGGCAATTTGTGTGTGTGTGTGTGTGTGTGTGTGTGTGTGTGTGTGTGTGTGTGTGTGTTTGTGGAGATAGGATCTTGCCGTACAGTTCAGGGTGCCCTTGAACTCACTAGGATAGCCTAGGCTGGCCTCAAATATGAGGTGGTCCTCCTGCCTCAACCTCCCAAGTACTGAGATTACAAGCATGTGCTGCCACGCTCAGTTTGTGCTGGTAATTCTAAAGGTTGTAAGTGATGAAGTATTTTTCCCCTCAAGCCCACCTCACACTGCACTGAGCTCACCCTTTTACCTCTGGCAGATCCAGAGGCTGCGGCAGGCCCTGCAGGCCACCCAGGCTGAGCGAGACACGGCCAGACTGGACAAAGAGCTGCTGGCCCAGCGACTACAGGGACTGGAACACGAGGCAGAGAACAAGAAGCGCTCTCAGGATGACAAGACCAGGCAACTGAAGAGCCTTGAGGTCAGGACATATGAGGTGGAGGCCGAAAGACAGGGTCCTGGGTCCTGACACAGGCAGGCCTTCTGTGGGGAAAGGGACAGGGGACTCCCAAGTATCTTTCTTTTCATTTCAAGATTGAATCCAGGGGCTTCATACTGAACTCTACATCCTCAACCCTTTTTCAATTTTTTGGAAACGGTGCTAAATTACTAAGTTTCCTTAGTAACTGGGCTGGGCTTGCACTTGTGATCCTCCTGCCTCCTAGAGTACTGGGCTTGCAGCCATGTACCAACCCAAGCCTAAGTGTATTTCTGTGCTACAGATTGAAACTGGCACCCCACAGCTAATGGGTTTTGTTGGATTTTGTTGCTTTAAGCAATTTTGGATCAAATGCCAATGTTTAGAAATGTATAAATATCACAGAAAAATTTGGGTTTCTAGCTTCTTTCATACAGTAAGTCCCTGACTTACAAATGAGTTCCATTCTGGGAGAATTGTTCATAAGTCAGATTCATTCGTAAATCAAATTTATTGATAAGCCTAACCATAACCCTAAGTTGACAAAGTGAGTCTTATACAGTAAACTTTTGAGTTCACAACTCAAAAGTTTGTAACTCAGAAACTTAGTATGTTTGGAAAATATAACAGTGGTGTGTTCTGCGTGACAATAGTTGGCTCGAGCCACTGAGCACTGACATCCCCCTTTCAGAGTGAACAGTAGTCTTCAATTTGCTATATTTGAGAACAATTATACCAACAGTAATAGCAAACATACTACACTCTGTGCCAAGCCCTGAAGTTTCATTTTGCTCCCAGAATAACCATATAAGATACATCATCTTGTTTTCTTTTTCTTCTGTTTTTTTTTTTTTTTTTTTTTTTTTTGAGATAGGTCTTACAATGTAGCCCAGGCTGGCCTCCAAATCTGAGCTATCTTTGGCCTCCTGAGTGCTAGGATTACAGGTTTGTGCCACCACACCCAGCCAACTCCATTTTTCAGATGTGCCTCAGAGGAAAGCAGAGGCAGAGCAATGAAGTAACTTGCTTATGAGTCTGCTTCTAGGGAGCACTAGACCTAATTTTCAAACCCAGGTCATCGGTCCTGTGTTAGTTTCTCCTCTTATTGCTGAGACACAATACCTACACCAGGTAGGTATTGAAGGAGGAAAGGTGTATTATGTCTTGCAGTTTGTAGAGGTTTTAGTCTATAATCGGGTGGTTCCAAGGCAGGGAAGCATGGGGGAGAGGCATGGAGAAGGAAAAGAGCTTTTGGTATGGCAGACGGGAAGTAGAGACTGACTCTAGAGAGGAGAGGGGGAGATAGCCCCTTCCAGCCCATACCCTCAGCGACCCACCTTCTCCACCAGGAGTCACCTCCCAGCACACAGTTAGTCTAAGTCAGTGTTGAGTATCACATACCCGTGATCCAGTCACCTTCCAAAAGCGGCTCCTGTGAGCACATGAAGCTTCAGGGGAACATCTAGATTGAAACTGTGACAGTCCTGAGTTCATCCTCACAGCCTCTACCTGGTATGCAAGCCAATTCACTCCCCCAATCTGTACTCTGGTGTTTTCAGTTTCAGAGTCTCTTTCTCTGCCTTGACCATGTACTTGGGTTTTCCTATTAAGGAAATGGCTTCTCTGGTTAGAAATTGCTGGGGTTTGACTTCCTCCTGCCCCCAAACACAACCTTCTCCCCATGCCACACATGATCAGCAGAGGGCGCCAGCTCCTTGGTAGCTGGGAGCCAGGACAAGGACCAAAAGAATCCTGGAGGTACAAGAGAGAAAGGTCTATGGATGCTGGAGTTTGAGTGGGTCCTGTTTAGAATTTGGCATTCCAGTGTCCAGCATTTAGGCTGCATTGTCTGTCCCTCTGCCATAGGAAAAGGTCTCTCGGCTGGAAACCGAGTTAGATGAAGAAAAGAACACAGTAGAGCTGCTAACAGAGCGGGTGAATCGTGGCCGGGACCAGGTAACTTCAACATTACCACTCATCTACTCCGAACCACATAACCTCTCGGCTTTCTCAAAAACAACGTTGTTTGCTTCAGTAGTCTGGAGTTTTGTCTGCTTTGGAAAGGATTGGCAGGTTTCCTCAGATGGAAAGAAGCCAAGAATTTGAATAAAGGCATTGTAGCTTGAGCCACTGTGTCTTGAGTAGGAACTGCTTTGGTATAGAAGGGATGCTGGTTCCTGGTGGGAGAATGAACCTGTGTCAATTCTGTGGCTCCTTCATTTTGAGCATCCTGTGATTTCTTCACTGCCTGGTCCCTAGGGGATTTGGGGTTCAGGCGCCATCCTCCTGGGCTCTACCCAGTTGGGTCTGCCTGCCGGCTCATTGGTGGCCCTCCCCAAGTCTGTGCCTCTTGTGTATCCCTGCTAGGTGGACCAATTGAGGACTGAGCTCATGCAGGAGAGGTCTGCTCGGCAGGATTTGGAGTGCGACAAAATCTCCTTAGAGAGACAGGTGAAAAGAGGGGGATCTTAGGGAGAGACCCCAAAGGTTGGTAGGATGAGCAACTGGACTGCTAACTGTGGAACCTCCTGTCCTTCTCAGAATAAAGAGCTGAAGACCCGGTTGGCCAGCTCAGAAGGCTTTCAGAAGCCCAGTGCCAGCCTTTCTCAGCTTGAGTCCCAGAATCAGTTATTGCAGGAGCGTCTACAAGCTGAAGAAAGGTAACATGAACCTGTCCTTACTTCTCTCCCTCCCTCAGTTTGGGTTTTTCTCCTCCCTTCATTTCCCACCTCACATCTGACCAACCTGCCCTGATCTTCAAAAGAGTCCCTTTGTTCCTCTTTTTATTTTTCTTTTGTCTTTTTGAGACAGGGTCTCTATGCAGTTCAGGCGGGCCTTGGACTCACTTCGTAGCTCAGGCTGGTCTCAAATTTGCAGTGATCCTTGTGCCTCAGCCTCCCAAGTGCTGGGATTACAGGAGTGCACCAATACATCCGGCTTGTTTTTATTTTTTTGAAACACAGTCTTGCTGTGTAGTTCAGACTGGCTTTGAATTTACTTTGTAGTCCAGGCTGGCCTCAAACGCATAGTGACCCTCCTGCCTCAGCCTCTCAAATACTGGGATTACAGGCATTGGCCACTATGCCCAGCTCTCTGCTCCTGAGACAGAGCAGAGAAAACTGTGGAAATTCTGAGATGTGAATGACCTCTGTCTCCTTGCTTCTTTTTTGGTGGGGCTTATTACAGAAGTCCTTGGAGGTAGTAAGGGGCCAAATACAGGTTTCCTGAGAAGTGGCAACAGCCAGAGACACCCTTCTCTCTCATCTTCCTAGAGAGAAGGCAGTTTTGCAGTCCACCAACCGAAAATTGGAGCGCAAAGTTAAAGAACTATCCATCCAGATTGATGATGAGCGACAGCATGTTAATGACCAGAAAGATCAAGTAAGGACGTGGCACTCCAGGGGCCATGTGGTCTCAGGGCAGGGGTATATTATGTTTGCTTGAAGACCACGGCATGTCTCCATCTGCCATCAGTCTTCCAAACAGACTTCACTTACTTAAGGAGATTAGACTGAAGGACGAGAGCAGTTACAGCTAGGGTGTATATAGAGTACTAGTTTCTTGTACTTTTCAGTGTTTTTGGGACAGGTCTCCCTACTGTATGGCCTAGGCTGGCCTTGAACTCAGTCTTCCTGCATCAGCCTCCTATGTGCTGGCATCACAGGCATGTGCCATCATGCCTGGCTTAGCTCCTGTGATTAATATACATATTAGTTCATTTAATCCTCATGGCGACCTTATGAGCCTAGGCCCATAATCATAACCCTTTTCATGGGGCAGTTACCTCTTGTCAAGATGGTTATATTGTCCATAGCAGCAGATGTTTTGCTCATGTGGGGACTTGGTCTTCTGCCCAGCTGAGCCTGAGGGTGAAGGCTTTGAAGCGGCAGGTAGATGAAGCCGAAGAGGAAATTGAGCGACTGGATGGCCTGAGGAAGAAGGCACAACGTGAGCTGGAAGAACAGCATGAGGTCAACGAACAGCTGCAGGCCCGGATCAAAGCCTTGGAGAAAGATGCCTGGTAGGGGCCGTCCTTCAGCCTCTTCCTCTTTGGAGAGGGTAGAGCCGATAAGAAGTGGTCTCTCCTGAGCAGGTAAAATGAGGAGGAAGACCTCTGCGATAGGAATATGCAGTCGCTTATTAAACCTGCTGCAGTTAGTCAGGTTTTCTTGGTGTCTCAGCCCCCAGCCTATACCCAGGTCCCTGGATCTCTGCTTAGTAGGGGATCTTCTAAGTGGGCTTAGGCCCTGGAATTAGTTTCTGAGTGTGGAACAGTTGGTATCTCAGTCTTTTCCTCTCCCTCACCAGTATTCTCTCTGACTCAGGCGCAAAGCTTCCCGCTCAGCCACTGAGTCAGCCCTCAAACATGAGGGGCTGAGCTCCGACGAGGAATTTGACAGCGTCTATGACCCATCATCCATCGCGTCGCTCCTGACGGAGAGCAACCTCCAGACCAGCTCCTGTTAGTTACTGGTCTTGAACGTCCAGAGGCAGGCCCCAGGCCTCTCTCAACCAGCCATGCTCAGCCTCGCCTCGATGTCTGCCTAGGATTCCTCTTTCCTATGGTGACCCAATTACTCAGACCCAAGACAGGGAGGGATCTGAGTCACAGTGATGAAGAAGATAGTAAGAAGTTGAAGTATGGACTTGACCTTTCCACTGGAGGAATGGGTGTTTTAGGCTTACTGAGTCCTTCCCTTGGGTGCCAACCCCTCTTTCATCTCTGTGAAATGAGATGAAACAAGTGGAAGGATGGTCAGCACAGAAACTGAGGGGGCTGAAAGGATCAGAAAGAATATAAGTTGCCATGTGTATAAAGCTTTATGTCTTTAGCCCTTAACCTTATGGCTCAGGGAAGTACCCAGCGCTATTCTGCTCTCTGGATTCCTGCAAGCTGTTTTCCTCCTACTCTGAAGCAGGGTGCAGAAGCTCTATGGGTAACAGACATGCAGGCGTGGCTTTACCCATTTCTCAGATTCCTTTCTGCACAGTTGTAGGGCTCATATGATAGTCCCCACACCCCTTCCATCTCTACATTTTTGTTTTGTTTTTTGTCTTTTTGAAACAGGGTCTCTCTCTGCAGTTCAGGCTGGCCTTGAGCTCACTTTGTAGCCTAGGTTGGTCTTAAATTTACAACGATCCTCCTGTCTCAGCCTTCCAAGTGCTGGGATTACAGGCATGTGCCACCACACAGGCATAGTCTGTACATTTTTGTCTTCTCTGAGCTAGTGGGTCCAGGAGACCCTTCATCCCCTCCCCTTCCATCTTTACCATTTGTACCCTACCTTTCCTCTCAGTGCCTTAGCCAGGGTGAGGAGATATGGATACTCTTCTTGCCTTTTATACCTGCACATTCATACCTCTCCCCAAACCAGCCTTTCCCCAATGGGGCCTCAGCCTGCCCTGCTTCCCCAGAGGGCCACCAGCTATGCTGCTGAGGAGCCCTGGAGAGGGACTCCCATAGGGCTCTAAAGGTAGTGGGGGCCTGATTTTGCTCAGGGTTTTCACCTGTTGTTCTCTCTCTCCCCTTTGGCGCTGGATGTGGCTATATATAAGATGGCTGCACATGGGGATCCTGACAACTGTCTATACAAGTTCCAAAAGCAAAAGGTCTCAGAGGCCTTCCTGTGGTTTCTGTGGTCAGATCTCAGCAGCCTCAATAGGGAACTAAGGGACCATCACTTTCTCAGGACCTTCACCTGAGGTTAGGAGCTCATCTTGGAGATGGAAAGGGGCCGTGGAGAATGTATTTCTCTTGGGGGTTTTAGGGAGAGCCAGGCGCTGGTGGGGAAGGAAGGGGACTGATTCACTTCTCTTCCAAAGCAGGTTCTGTGGACAAGCTGGGAGGAAGGCTGTTCTCACCAATGACTTGTAATTTTATGATTTTTTAAAGAGTCCTATATCTGCAAATCAGAGATTCTCTCCCAATGCAACTCAGCCTTGGTTTTATTTTAAATTAAACATTAAAAGTATATATCTATATTTAAATCCTGTTCTTTTTCTGGCTTATTTGAAGGTCTAAGTTTTGGAAAAAAGTCATTTTAACCCTGCAGCTTAGGGGCTGAGCTGGAGTTTTGTCACCACTTTTCACAGGTCTTTTACTACAGATCAGATGGGACCTAGAAAACCTGGGCATGTTTACAGCAGCCCTATTCTTGCCTGAACAATTTTCTGGGAATAGCAAGGCCCAGAACACCTTCTGTAAGGCTTAGAGGGCGACAGACCAGCACAAAATTTTATTTCCTTGGTCACAGGGATATCCCCAGCATTCACCACCCAGACAAAAATCACTGTTCATTCCTAATTTATAAGGGCCCCTATCCCTACCTAGAAGGTGGGGAGTTTCTGCCATGTTTTGTCTTGAAGAGACCCATCCCTTCACAAGGGCCTATTGCCAGATACAGAGATACTTCAGATTTTAAAGTGGCTCCTACCTCCTCCTGTGGTTCCTTTGGGCTGAGAATAAACTCATGGTCCTGTTTGGCCAACTCTTCTAAACCCTCCAGATTCCAGCCTAGTGTTGGGGAGCAAATGCCATCTGAGAAGTTTCTGTTGAATTCCTTTTAAGGCAATGTGTCCCGCCTCTCCCTGCCATATAATAGCTGTGCAAAACAAGCCCCACCCAGTGCCTACCTGCTTTTGACTTTGGCCCGGGCGTCTTGCCAGGGAAGGGCACCTGCCAGACTGGCTTAGGCTAGTCTGTGAGTTGGCCCCTTGGTGCCTGCTTTTCTACCGAGGAAGAAAAAGTTTTCTCAGCTCTACAGTCCACAGGTTTTGTGTAGGGAGAGGAAGAGGAAAAATGTATGGAAGTGTGTAAGTGTTCCAACTCCTCATCCTCTGTAGAGGAAGGAGCAGGCAAGATGTTTACTTCTGACTGCAACTGATCTTGGAGTTGAGACAAAGCTAATGAATATTGAGGTACAACCACATACTCGATAGACCAAACTGCCAAGCAGCTCTGGGTCACTGCAAGTCCCACCTTTATGTAAATCTAAGCTTATGGGGCATATCTGAAGTCACAGCACCGCCCACCTTGTTCTTTTACTCGCTCATTGGCTAACTGCCAGCGGGCGTGGCCTATCTCCGACCCCGCCCCTGACGCACCTATACAAGGGGCGGTTCCGCACACGGGACCTGGTAGGACCCGGGCTGCTGGGCGGAGGAGTGGGCTGTCTGCTACGATTGCAGCCGGAAGGAAATGAACGGGACACGGAACTGGTGTACTTTCGTGGACGTGCACCCAGAGGGCCAAGCCGCGGTAAGAAAAAGTGCCCATGCCGCCTGCCTGCTTGGTGTTCTCGGTTCGCTGACATCACCTTGTGTACTAGTGCAGTCAGCTCTTCGCTGCGCTTCGGTCGCGCTCTTGTGTTTCTTTTCCCTGCGGTGAGCTCTGGGAAGGTCAGGATGGAGTCTCGAGGCTGGAGGGCTGGGGGTGTTCCTCTCCTTGGGAGAACCCTGCGGCTTCTGCCTGCGGCTGGACGCCAGGAGCCCTTGCTGGGCGTTCGGGCGTCCAGGGACAGCGAGATTGGATCGTCAGAGCACTCGTCCTAGGGCCGGGGTCCCAGCGCTCTGTTGGACCTTGTGTCCCGTCGAACTGGAAGAAGCTTTTTCTGTGGGTCCTGGTGACCACAGAGGCCCTTCAGAGAATTTTATGGTGCTTTGGTCAGTAACAAGAAAAAAAGGATAGAGAGTGAAATTCTTGGTCTTGGGACTCAGGGTTGGGGGGCTGTGGGAGGCTGTAGGACCCAAATCATTCTGACGTTAATCAAAGACTTATGCTAAATGGAATCGAGCTTTCCATCTGGTGGTCCCCACTGTTTCCCCCTTACAGTTCTGCTCCCTTCCCTCTGTAGGCCATCATCAGATAGCTTCTCTGGGAAGGTTTGTTGGTTTTGTATCTGTCTCCAGCCACCAGACCCGGGGCAGAGGTATGAAGGGGATGCAGAACCTGGGAGGGAGAGAAGCGAGAAGGGACACGTTTCAGGGGTTTAAGGGTTTCTGGACCGTGTGAGAGTTGGAGAAAGGGGGCAAAACCCAGATAAGCCTTTCTGTCCTGCTTCCCTCGTTCCCTGGCCCTTAGTCTCTTTCTCCTAGGCTCTCACAGCCCCCAAGCAGACTGTGTGATTTCTCCTCCCTAGAGACAAAGGAGTATAATTTGTGGCTGTTTCTTGGCTTGCTGGGGGAATGAAACCCAGTATAGCTGTGAACTGTTTCATCGATTTCCAAGAGCATGAAGTGGGAACCAAGGTGATGGGGAGTTTGTAATCCACCACCACCTTCCCACACCCCACCTCACCCCACTCGACCCCACCCCGCTCCTCGCCGCCCCCAGCTGATTCCCTAGCCCGCGCCTGTCTCAGCTCGCCCCTAAAGTAGAGCTAACCCCACTGGAACTGGATTATAGCTCTTCTTCAAAGAATATTTGTAAAATAGGTGCTTATTTGAAGTTTAGAATACAGACGATCGTTTCTTTTTACAGTCCCCTGGCTATTTTGCCTAGACTTATGAATGTTTCTGACACATTACTAGGCAAGTCTTGCTGCTGCCCAAACCCGCTTCACCAACCTCCAGTCTTTTCCCCCAGCTGTTGGATGCTGAAGAGATGGGGGAAAATCCATCCTTTGTTGTGTCAAGCTCAAGCCCTACTCAAGCCCTACAAACCAGTCTTCTTGCTGGTTTAAAATGATTGAGACTGGGAAAAGGCTGTGAGATAGAGGTGTCTAGATTTCTTTTTTTGCTTGCTGCAGAAAAGATAGAGGTGTTAAGACCATGATGTTGGCAGCATTGAGAATGAATTTCTACCCTCTAATGTCCCTTGATGTTTTTACTGTTTGTTTGGTGGCACAGAAGGAATGAGTAGGAAAATAGTAAGAAAGGAATTCATAGTCTCCAACCACAGTTGGGTTTGAAGCTAAGAAGAGAGAAAGAACTCTGGAGCAAGAAGGAGGCAGAAATTCCCTTTTATTCGTTCTTTCTGGGCTGAACCTGGAACTGATTTTACACCAAAGCTGGGCATGAAATAGCTATGGTCCTGGTCTGCTCTTAGAGATGTTCCTGGGCTCTTAAAGAGGGGGAGGAGATGGTAAACAATTCATCAGTCAGGAGACAGGCATTGCCCTGGATTCCTCTCCTCTGAGCCAGTGTGGAGACAGAATTTATGGCTGGATAATCCAAAGGAACCTGTCAGGTGTTCACTGAATGAATGCTCAGTGCGTGTGCAATGTGGGAGTGAATAAATAAGGGAAGAGGTTTTTTTTTTTTTTTTTTTCCTGGAGTTGCCAGTGTAGACAGTTGATTGGAGTGTTTTAGAGGGGATAATGCCCTGAGACTTTTGGTGTTTTCCCATCAGCCTAGCAATGTGTGTCAGTGCTCTACACATGGACATGGAAGCAGGACAAGTATACCCACTGGATTATTTTTATGGTTGGGCACACATGCAGCAGGTATGAGACAGTTTTTCAAAACTACAGACATAGCCACTAGTGGACCCAAAATCAGTGTAATAGGGTAGACTCTGCACTAAAAAAGTAGAACAGCCTTGGTCTCAGAGTGTTAGTGCTGAGACTTGAATTCAAGGAATTCTAAGTATGTACTGCACTACTGAGCTATAGCCTTAGCACTCTGCCCCTCCCCCCCTTTTTAGGACAGAGCCTTATTCTGTAGTTTGGGCTGGCCTTCAACTCACTGTACCCAGGCTTGCTTCAGACTTGGTGATCGTCCTGCCTAAGCCTTTGAAATGCTGGGATTATAGGCATGTGCCACAGCATTTGACTCCCCAGTCCTCTTTACTATTTATTTATTTTTTGGTCCTGGGAATTGAACTCAGGACACTGTGCTTGCCACAAGGTAGGCACTGTGCCTCTGAGCTCTATCTCCAGCCTTATTTTTTATTTTAAAACATTTTGAGACAGAGTCCTGCTGAGTTACCTAGACTGACCTCAAACTTGCAATTCTCTTGTGTCGGACTCTTCAGTAGGTAGGATTATAGGTTAAGAATTACACCTTACGTGCATAGATTTTTTTGGCAAAAATTTGATGTATACATTTTTTTTTTTCTTTTTCGTTTTTATCGGTACCAGGGATTGAACTCAGGACTGCCTGCTTGCAAGGCAGGCGCTTATGCCGCTGAGCTAAATCCCCAGCCCCAATGTATACATTTTTATATATATGTATTATTTATGGACTGTGACATAATACTTTTTAAGGTCAGAAAGTTGGCAAACCACTTTGGTAAGTTAGATCAGCGCATAACAGTACAAATAAATCTCAGACTTATTTTTATTAGATATGTCCTTTAGCTGCCTTTGATCATAGTAAACTATAGAAAATGACTCTAGCTAGCTTAAGCAGAAGTGTAAACTGAGGAAGTCTTGGGGGCTGGTTAGGTGGAGGGAACTAACAGAGAATTTCTAATTCTGGATGAACTGAGTCCAGCTGTTGTAGTTATTTTTGCCATTCTGTCCAAGATTCCAGGAAAAGGAGCCATTGTCCTCTTACCCCCTCCTTGGCCAGGAGACGACAGGGTTCTTTTATGAGTAGGCCCATAAAATTACCCAGTGAAGGGATCGAGGACATGGCTTAGTGGCTCAGCATCTACCTGGCAAGCGCAAGATCATGAATTTGATTGCTGGTACCAAAAAAGAAAAAAAAAAAGATTAGCCAGTGAAGGAGGGGGACTCTTAGAACCCCAGTGGAAGATGATGTGATCACGTGATCAAAGAATAGGTGATCAAAGAATTCGTGTCCATGGCATTAGAGTTTGGCCTAGAAGATATGATTTTCTTCCTCCCTCCCCTTCTTTCCCTTCTTCCTTCCTTCATCAAAAGAATGTGTGTATGTGCTTTTTAAAAAATGTGACATGGTGGTACTTGGTGACTCTGGTAACCCTTGGTACTCAGGAGGCTGAGGCAGGTGTATTACAAGGCAGGTGTATTACAGGCTTTTACCAAGCCTGGGGAATTTAAAAGAGCTTATTTCAAAACAACCAAACACATACATAGAGTTGGGAATGTAGCTTAGCACTCCCTGTGCAAGAGGGCCGGGGGGGACAGGAGAAGAAATGTAATAATATTAAATGGCTTTTAAAAGAGTATAGCAGTCTTCTATTCCAACTTCTGTTCCATGAAGTAGCCACATTCTTCCTTTTTTATTTTTTATTTCTAAAGCAGAATATATTTATTGAGAGAAAGAAAGTTTCTGTCTGAGAGAGACAGATGAGGTTCTGAGTGGGTCACCCAACATTCCTCTTTTTAGTTGTTTTATTTGGTATTTAATTCCATTTTTCAAAATGATATAAGTATTTCGTGGGGCTGGGGATTTAGCTCAGCGGCATAAGCGCCTGCCTTGCAAGTGTGTGGTCGTGAGTTCAATCCCTGGTACCGAAAAAAAACAAAAAGACAAAAAAAAAAATGATATAAGTGTTTCTTGATCTATCAGTATTATATATCTATTGAACTCTGTTACGGGAATTACGGGGAAATTTATACTCCAACCCCTTACAAGTACCTTTCCTGTGATCCCAGTATAATTATATGACAGTCTTTAGCTAAACTTTTGATTTCTGTTAATAGCTTTGTGCCTAAGAACATGACTGGGAATCCAAGTAAAGGAGGCAAAAGTTCCAATGTTTGTTTTGCCCAAATTTACTTCTGTAAATTATTTTCTCCATTCTCAACTTTTCTCTGTAGAGTTGGGATACTGATTATATCCTTCTCATCAGGCTGTTTTGAGGGTTAAGTGGGATAATACACAGGAAGCATGACCTGCTTAGCTGACCTTTCTGTTTGCTACTGACTGTTTTACTCTGCTCTGTCTAAGGGATGGAGGACACATTTGGGAACTCTCTGGCTTCTCATTTTGTGGTATTTTTTTATTCTTATTGACTCCTTTCCTCTTTCTTTGGTGATCCAGGTCCCTCTACTAGTGGAGGCTTCCAAGGGTGAGACAGGGCCAATGGTGCGAAGCCCCGAGTGACCTCTGTTAGACCTGACTCATGGGGGATTGCTTTACACAGGGGTGCTGGTCAGAGTTCAGCTTTTGGCACCCTTTGCTGGGACTGTTTCGTCCTCTTTGTTTTTCTGACTTCAACTAAGGCGAATAGTGTCCTCTGCTACTTGTGCTCTGATAAAGTGGTTTGTTTTAAGTAATGAGTATTACTCTTCCAAAGTGCATTGTTTCTTCTCTAGTTTTTTGGGTTTTTTTTAGGGGCACTTGTTTTGGTCAGAGACAAGTTCTTTTAATACCTGGGAGGGGTGAACC